CCCCAAAACCCCAAAACCCCAAAACCCCTTAGAGATATATTTTGTCTAATAATTTGATTTAAGTTTGTTATTTTGAAAGATATAATAGATTTTAATTTGAAGGCACAAAATGTCAGACGACGGCAATCAAGATGAATTCGAGTACGAATGGCCATCTGATGATGGTGGTTAAAATGAAGAAGACGAGAGTGAAATCTTGCTTAAAAATACGTTTTATGAGGCTGACGAAAATAAGAAGACCAGACCGAAGGAGGCTCTTGAATAGTATGAAAATGTAGTGCTATTGGAAGAGCAGATGGGCGAGGAGATTAACTTCAGATTCAAGGCTCTAGAAAATATTGTTGTGCTTTCAGCTTAACTTGGTCTGCATCAGAATATGATCAACAAACAGAAGAACTTACTCAAGCTTATCAATAAGGTAGCAAGAAATGATGTATCTGATGCCATTAACAACATATTGGATGCAGTTGCAACACATTTAACAAGCAATCCTGATTCTTAGAGAGAAATGTATCAGATGACTCTGGAGCATCTAAAATCAAACAACGAGAGACTTTGGTTCAACATCAGCTTGAGATTGGGTAAGATCTACCTCGACTTGAAAAACTACGACTTGCTTGATAATTTGCTCACTGAACTCAAAGAGAACTGCAGACAACAGAACAACTCAAATGAATACGACTAAAGCAAGGGCAATCTTCTCCTTGAAGTTTTTGCCCTTGAAATTTAAATGTGCACTGCCACAAAGAACAATTTCAGAATGAAAAGTGTTTATCCATAAACATTAAACCTTAACTCAGTCATTAATGATCCAAGAGTGCTCGGAATTATAAAGGAGTGCGGAGGAAAGATGTTTATGAGCGAAAAAAAATGGGACAAGGCTCTTGAGGAACTTTTCGAAAGTTTCAAAAACTATCAAGAATCAGGAAATTCAAGAGCAAAGACAGTGTTAAAGTATGTCATTTTGGCAAGTATCCTTTCAGGATCCTCCATCAATTACAGTGGCACTAGAGAGGCAAAGGTGTACAACGATGATCCATAGATTATTGCTATCATGAACTTAAGAACAGCTTTCGAGAATAACGATATTAACTAGATTCTTGAAATATTAAATGATAAAAATTCTCAAATCCTTGATGATCCATTCATTACCTAATATCTTGATGATTTACTCAGAGGAATAAGACTTAATGTGCTCATTGCTCGAGTTAAACCATATAAATCAGTTAGTATTAGTTTCTTAGCCTAGCAGTTGAACGTTTCCAAAGAAGAAATTAGAGGTTTGCTAGCAGAACTTATCTTGGAGGAAAAAATTAAGGGAGAAATTGATCAATTAAATGGCTATCTAGAACTGGGAAGCAATGAAACTTAGGGATCATAGAAGAATGTGGCTATGACTCAATGGGCTAAGACTCTTGTAAATTTGCACTAACAACTCATTAAGAAACTACCCTAGTGAAATGATTGCCATAATCAATGATATAACTATTATTTTCTCTAATATGCTTTTATTTATTTTTATTCACCTAATTAAAGAAGTGAAAAATCTAATTAAATGATTAATGGGGTTTTGGGGTTTTGGGGTTTTGGGG